TTCACATTCACTGGGTTGATTATCATTTCTTGTAATATATCCAGCTATGTACACAAGAGCCATTTTTATTTCATTGGAAAGAGATGGTTCTAAATTTTCCACATTCTCAAATATTTCTGAACCTTCCTCACAAAGTTTATAATCACAAGATGTACATTGGTGATCTGGATTAACATCAAATTCATCAATATTTACATTTTGATTTAAAAGTAAAGATGTCTGCTTAATATGCAGCTTTTCAATACATTGTTAAACATTTATAAAATAGGTGCCACCTTATCTTGGCTAAGTTTACCAAATTCTTTTTCTAATGGATCAGTTGAAAATTGCCCAAGTAGTACATATTTATGACTTGTAGCTAAAAGGTGTCGACATAGACTAACAATTCCATTGCAAATATGATGTATGGCAGTAGCAGTGTTTTGGGATAATTGTTTTTTACGATTACCTTGACTGCCAGCCATATTAAGAGCCATTTTACCAAATTCAATGATAAAATCAAGTCGGGTGTCCTTTGGAGATTTGATTTCAGCTTGTAGAGGATCATTATGTAATTTATCAATTTGAAGGCATTTAACATTTAAAATTTTCCACCGTGTCAAAACCTTGTTTATGAAGAGGGCAGTATCATTCTTACCTGCACTTATTTCAGACTGAGTGAGAAGTGCATTATATGTTTTTTCAGAAAACACTTTGAGGCAAGTAGAAACCCGTTGTCTTTCTATTGGCTTTGGAGCAATGGAAATTTCATTTAAATCTGAAAGTTTGACTAGTCTTTCACATTTAAAACGATATAACTGTTTAAGATGTGTCCATTTTGCAACTCGACTTACTCCATCATCATCAAAGATTAGTTCTCCTGTTTTTTCTGTCAGCCACAAATTGCGAATATTTTTCAACAGATGAACATAATCAAAAAAAGCAAATGTTTATTATCTTCAGTTAACCAAGGTTTTTCAGGAAGTGTAGGATATAATTTAAAAAAAGCTTGATTTACGCGGTTGCCATCACATATTTACATCAGCTGGTACAGATGCGATGGCTTGGACTGGTAACTCAGTTTGTTCAAATAAAAAGGCGGATGTTAATTTTGAAATTGGAATCAATTTTGTAAGAAGATTTGGACCCCCATTGAGACATATGAACATTATACCAAGTACTGTTTGAGCAAGTACAGATGGATTGTCAACTGATTTACCAAATAGTTGTTTGCCATGATATAGCAACATCTTTTTGATATATACTTCATCATGGAGAATTATGCACCCTTTTTGACTGGGATTAAGAGTATTAAATATAAATAACAAAAAAGATTTTTCATTAAGTTTTGAAACTTTTGACGTCATCAAATAATTTATAATATTGCTAATGAGGGTAATTGAAAATCATATCTTAATTCATTATACAATGTCCGTGATCTTGCATAGTACCCAAAAGCATGCACAACTATATCTGAGCTGTATTTTATTCCAACCATTTTGGGAGCCATTGCTAAAAATTGTTGACTCAGGATATTTTTCAATATCAAAAGCCATAGAATTTAAATATCGGATGATTTCTTCCAGTTTTGACCAAGTATCAACTGTATTTATATGATTTTTGGACAGGCTGCTAATATAACACTTAACTCCATAATGAAATGTTTCAAAGCGCAAATTGTTATAAATTTTCAACATAAAGAGAGGAATACCATCAATAGATTTTGATAATTGAACAGTTAAAAATATTTTCATCCAAAATGCTACAACTGGACATATAAAGTCTTTTTTGTTGTTAAGCAGACTTTCTTTCAAATTTGTATAATTTTATCTAATTCTAAAAAAGCATTAAGTTCATCAGCAATTTGATTTCTAACAGTACTGGAGGGTTTTTTTATATTCCTTTGAACAGCTGAGGGTGTTGGTATTTGACTACTTGGCACACCTGGCCATGCAAATGGTGGATTTTTTTAACATATTTTTCCATTAACTTTTATGGTATCAAAATTTGAAGGCCAATGTTGTTTACTTTAAAACTTTATATTAAATTTAAAAACATTCATAAGTAGCCTTTAGTTTGGTTATTTTAATACGCTTTAAACTATATAAATAGGAATATATATAACTTTTTTTTACCTTAAAGCAAAACTTTAATGGAAAATGTTGGATAAAGTTTTAATAGAGAAATATTAATGAACCTTTCTCTATTAAAATTTTATTCAAATTTATTATTCAAACTTAAACTTTTAATAGAAAAATGTTGACTTATGCTAATTTTTTATCATGGTTAAAAACTTTAGAAAATTAAACTTTAATTTCGTTGACGTTATGTTTTTTTTTTTTCACTCATAACAATGTTTTGTTTTAGCGATATCAAAAATAAATATCAAATTAAGTAATGACATTGAATTTATGAAAAAAAACATTTTTAATTCATTTTATAATAAAAAATAGTTTTCTTTACGTCTTTGAAGAAACTAAATTAAATTCTGTTCAAATTTGTTAAACGTTGTTTTGGTTTGCTTCTTTAAATAACACAAATTTCTCAAAAAGAATTGCATTTTATCAATAAATAAGTCTTTAAACTTTAATCAAAAAATGTTGAACAAACTTTAAGAGGGAAAATGCCAAAAATGTATTAAACTTTAATTTAAAAATGTTAAGGCTTTTTAAACTAAATAAATCTTTTTAATATCTAAATAAAGCTTTTTAAATCTAAATAAAGCTTTTTAAACTAAGTAAATCTTTTTGTGCGAGTAAATTTAAGCACCAAAGTTTTTACAATTTAAATATAAATAATGTATGGACTCAAACTAAAATAATAAAATATACTTACTTCAAATAAATAAGTTAAATGATATTCCAACCAAAGGTAAAATTAAAAGATTCCTTTGAATTTCTCGAGCCAACAACATAAGAGTACACAGTACGCAGCAGTTCGCTCAAACTGAAGCTAAAACGATCTAATTGTCAGCCGGCCTCCAGTCTAACGAGGTAGCAGCGCTACGCAGAGGCCTGTTAATATAGAACGCCATGGTGCATACACATATGTGAGTGGATGCCAGATACAGATATTCATATAGGTATATATTTGTATAAATGTAACAATTTTCAGTTCCTCTAGACAAAATTATTTGAATCTATTTGCATATTTTGTTGCACAATTTCTACACACACATTATATATATATATATATATATATATATATATATATATATGTTGCACTGAAAATCTAGAAAGTATAATAAAAAACACAATAATAAAATCCTGAATAAACCTCCATGCCAGAATAGTATTAATAAAACCCTACACTTAAATTAGACAAAAATAGTGAAAAATTATGTGATTGTAGAAACCCAGAAGACTGCCCCATTGGAAAATATATGCCGCGTAAAATCTGTGGTGTACCAATGTACTATCTCATCCATTGAGAGTCCTAATACTAATAGGATATACATTGGGTCTACGAAGAATGAATTTAAAACCAGATGGAGGCAGCACAAGTGCTCCTTCAACAATATTAATAAAAGAAATCAGACATATCTATCTAAATATTTTTGACATTTGAAGGAAATGAATAAAACACCAAAAGTAAAATGGAAAATTATAAACAAAACTAGAACTTGTAAAACTTGGGATGACCCATGCCCTTTATGCCTACATGAAAAACTACACATTATCAAGTTTCTAAATAATAAAAATTTATTAAGCAATAGAGTTAACGGTTTTTTGCAGACATCATCAAATTTTAGCATTAAATAATTAGCATAAAAAACAAACAATAAAATAATAAATACAAATTTTAAACTCCATAGTCTAAATAAAAAGTTTAAATGCCCCCCCAAAACCTTTATGAAGTCGTCAAAAAAACAAATGTTAGGGAGTTATGACAGGTTTTTTTTATATATACACAAAACCCTTTCAGGAAAAAATGAAAAATAAAATAAAAAATTAAATCTCCATAGACACTTAACAAGACTAGACGATATCATCCTCCGCTTTGAATTTAGACACCCCAACCTTACCCTGATTTGACCTCTTTGAATGTAACTGAGATATTGATACAAATTATTAACCCTCACGCCCCATTTTTTTTTTAAATAATTGCTCTAGCCGTTACCATAGTAATTTTAATTTAAATATGAATATGCTTATAAAACGCGTACATTTCAGGAATTAGTTATTCCAAAAAAAAATTCGCTTGAAGATGGAACAGAACTAGGTACTTTAATTCAATTTAATTCAAATAATTATATTGACGTTTTCGGCTCTTGTTTTGAAACATGAGAACCCTTATGTAGCGATGGAATCATATTTTTTAAATAAATAATTATATATATATATATATATATATATATATATATATATATATATATAGTATTAAGTTGTAAGAGTTTTTAGGTGCCAAAATTGCCGGTTCTTTTTTACTGGTGAAGATGCATTTTAGGAAGGCAGTTTTTGTCATAAAGTGCTCGATATTAAAATGTAAGAATAGAGCGTTAGTAGAATTAATGTGGAGAAACTTATCACGTAACTGAGTGGTGTTTCGGAAGCGTATTGCAGTAATGCTTTCATTTTCAATGCTGTTCTGTTCTTAAGTAATGTAGAGTTTCTTGGTGATTGTTTCCTTTGTATTGTACTGACCTCTTTTGTGTCATTCTTCCATATTTGGAGTGTATGTGAAAAAGTGAAAGAGAGAAAAATAAAAAATGAATGGGATAAAGATCTGACTTCAAGAAATCCTTAAAAACAGGATTCTACAAGCGTAACTAGACGGACATCATTTGCGCAATATGTTGTGAGACATACTGTAGACATGCGAAACAAAATGTGGTCTTAGCAAACATCTCTGTATATATATATATATATATATATATATATATATATATATATATATATATATATATATATAATTTCAAGAATCACATTTCATTCTTTTGACGCTACATAATTCCCACAAATCATGTTTTGCTTTTGTCCACTGGCCGGCATTGGTGCCGCCTGTGTATTAAAATAGACGTCATGTCTTGTGGTTCGAAGCGCGGGACACGCGTTTAGGTTGTCTGTGCGTTTGATTAATCTGTTTGCCAACGGAAAAGGCTTTTCAGGCTTACAAATATAATGATGAGGGTTGACAGTCTCTCCTCCCCTATTCTTTCTCTCTCTCTCTCTCTCAACACATCACATCTTTCCTCTCTTATATGAGCACAAACGTTGCGTTCAACTTCCTCTTTTTATTATCCTGCTTCCTTTTTTTTCATTTCATTCATTTGAAGTCCTTTCTTTCTATTTTCCTTTTTCTTTACACTCATAAATTTGATTAAGCATCTTTTGACACATTGACACTTCATTTTTTTTTTCATTGCTTTTCCCTGCCAACTTACTTTCTTACTCTCTCGTCCTCTTCTTTTTCGCCTTTCTTGATTTTTATCTACATTTTACCACACCTTTATTTTTATATAAATTTCTCTATTTATTGATATAGCACATTTTGCAACATTTTTCTGCTTATTGTTTCATCCTGCAATCTTTCCCCTCTTTCTATCAACTTCTCAATTACTAGCTTTATTTCTGTCCGTCCGTCTGTCTGTCTCCCTTGTGTAACTGTACAATTTCTCTCAATATTTATTTCTCTTTTATGTGCCATATCCCTTCAGGACGTGGCTAATCGTATCATGCCACATCTTCCTATCCAGTGTAGCTCTTAGCAATCTATTTAGCCTTAACCCTTTGAGCTCTGACCACCGCTTTACCGCTTTACCGGTGGTAGAGAAAAATGACGTAATGCCCAGCCACCGGATGAACAGTGGTAGAGAAAAATGCCCAGCCACCGGTTGAACAGTGGTAGAGAAAAATGCCTTAATACCCAGCTACTGGTTGAATGGTGGGTAAACACTTGTAACTTTTTTTTTATATCTACTGTGAAACATTACATACCAATTAATTGCAAATTTTGACTCAGGAGCTCAGGCAGGGTTAGACTCAGGAGCTCAGGCAGAAGGGTTCAAAGGGTTCAAATTGTTCAGGAACGCAGGGGTCAAAGGGTTAAATCGTGTTTTCAGCCGTTTTCATTTCTTTTTGATAACTTAAATCTCTCTCTCTCCCTCTCTCTCTCTCCCTCTCTCTCTCTCCCTCTCTCTCCCTCTCTCTCTCCCTCTCTCTCTCTCTCTCCCTCTTATCTTTTACTCTTTCTGTAGTTCATCATTTTTTTTTTACTTTTTTATATTTTCTGATGCATTTATTATTCATTTTCTTTCTTTCTCCTACATATATGTACAAGTATGTTAGTCACATTTGCTACATACATAATAATATTAGAAAATGCCATTTTCTATTAATATTTTTCAACAAGACACTAATATTTTGGTTAACGGTACCTAGAAAATGATATCAATAACTATTTGTTTCTTATGAGAATAAGAATTTTACTTGTAGTTTTGTGCTGTACACGAAACTACAACTGCACTATCTCTTCTATCAATGCAATGTTTTATTTCCGATCTATAAATATGTGACTCCTTGTCAATGGGAATTAATCGAAAAGGATTTTTCAACTTCAGGCAACATGATGCTGTCGTTTAGTAAAATTTATTGAACAGGTCTTTGTAGGTATAAATTTTTAATTTGATCAGTAATTTTCTAGTTTTTCAGTCAATAAAATTCCATTACAATCGTGCAGAAAATCAGCAACGCAAAGTGGATTGGCATCATCGGTCCAATATTCAAAATCGTTTATGCAGTCTTATGGGAGGAGACTTGTTTTTCTCTCTTACAACCTCTTTCCCACTGACTACTCTATCGCTCTTTTCATGGCAAATGTTCAGATGAACGCTCCATTTTTTAGTCCCACCAGTTCAGATCTTTACAACGTGGAGACGCCATGCTACTTTCATGGACTCCAATCACACGCATTTTCTCTCGTGTTTTAAATGTAAGAAAAAAGTTCAACTCCGGCAGCTTTTTAGATTCGTTAAGAACACGGATTTCTTTTGGATATTTGATGCCAATTCATCTTTTGTCCGAACATGGAAACTACTTAAAAAAGACATCAACATTTGATCAATCTATACAAAAAAAACTTATTATCAAGTTACTCCTTGAGAAACAGAAGGGAAGTAAGAAAGTAATCCCAAAAAAGTACTTATAAAGTACTCAAGGCCACAACAGATATTTTATCCAAATACATCCACAACTAACTCCTTACATGCGCAGAACTCAAACACCACAAAAAGCTCACAAATGACAAGGCTGCATCAATTGGCAAAACGTTACATTAGAGAAAATAACCTATCCAACTCCAGAGCCAAAATCTTAAGACAAACCATTTTATACAAAAACAACAAACAAATAAATCGCCTAAAACACAAATTACACAACCTTTGCACTTACAGTAGATCGGTAAACCCAAATTTTGTTCACATCTCTAACGCTAAACTTTCTATAACTGAGATAGAAGGGATTCATATAAGATATCATAGTTACCACTCTCACCAATGCCGAAGAATACCAATACCGAAGAAACATCACTACCCAGGAGATACCTACTAGCACTAGAAAACCCTGCCTAAAAATAAAAACATAATTATAGCCACATCCGACAAAGGTGGTAGAATATTTGTTACGGACGCCAACAAATACATTGAAAAATTAGAATGACGCTTAAATAATAACACTTACAAAAAAAAAACAAAAAAAAACGAACTGACGGTAAATACAGACACACAAAATTTCAACAAAACGGTCACGAAACTGTTAAAAATGAAAACAAATCCTGGATTAAACTAATAGAATACTATCCTACAATACCCTTATTATGCAGCAAAACACAAATCCAAAAAAACACATTGTGTCTAGCATCAACAATGCTCCTATGTCCAAACTAGTTAAAGCAATTTCAAAAACCCTAACTCCGTCCCTAGGCACCATCGACCCAATAAGACATTAAATACTCTGATAACTTAATCCAGAGGATAAGAAACATAAACGTAGAAAACAAAGGTTATGGTTTAGTTTAGATATCAAATCATTATACACAAATATACCCGTTATAAAATGCCTCAAAATATTAAGAAACTACCTAATACAAAAGTCCAAAGAAAAACATCTTCTACTGGTTCATAAAATTATATAATTATGCAAACTAATTACTGTTTACTGTTTCTTCTGTTTCCATAAATATTTCTAAAAGAAAAAATTTCGATTACCGATGGGATCCCCAATAAGCAATGTTCTTGTTTGCTTGTATTTTCCTAGAATTTTTAGTCCGGTTCATTAGTACGTAAAAGTTGCACTTACCCCAAATATATACTCGCAGGTGGCGTCCTGTTAATATGAATGAAAATCTACTAAACGTCATAAAGAGCACGCGTGAAATACAGAAAGGTCTAGCTTTCCTAAACACCTTATTAATATGAAACAATTAGATTTTAGAGTTTAACGCAAACCTACAAACAAAATTGATTTAATCAATTTTTATGCTCACCACAGCCAAAAAATAAAATCGAGACTAATAATAAGGCCCAGAACAGGTGTGAAGAGAAATACATTGAACGGAACTTCATCCTCAATTGTAGAAAACGTGCATACAAAGTCAACAAATCAAAAAAAGTTCAATAAAAACACAAAATTCATAATCCTACTTTCCAGTATTCTATCAATAAAATTTGGAAACAAACTTAGTTATGCGCTAAGATCTTTACCACCACTTACATGACAATCAGAAATATAGTTAGGAAGAAAAATAGATCTAACAGCAAATCGGATTCCAGGATTTATTATATAAGACGCCTGCAACATAAGAGCTACATTGGCAAAACAATCAAATCAAAAAATCCACATCTATGAGCATAAGAGAGAGATCTACATTGAAACAACCATTTAATCTTGTTTGTAACACACAGGATAAAAACCAGCCGTAACTTCGATTTTATAAATGCCTAATTAGAAAAGAATATATTTCATTACGGAGGAAATACTTACAGGAAGTTCAAATGTTGCCATCTATAAACACACGTCAAACACTTTATTATATCACCAACTTTTATAACGATCCATAAAGAATTTTATTTAGTGTTAAAATATGGCCGCATTCGTTTTAGGCATTTCTGAATTTTTATTAAATATTCTTTGCTTTTTTTGCCGAATATTTCATATTAAAATTGAAAAAAAATCTAACCGCAAAACTTTGGTCTTGTCATATCCACTGTTTTTGTTTCTTCTGTTCTTCTCAGAATTCATGGTCACCTTGTGTCGACATATGAGAGCGCATCCACTCGGAGATTTCGCTATGGCCGGGTGGATAACATTCGGGCGGCATCCCCAGCAGCTCTAGAATGGGTTAAATCAATGACAGGAGAAACCAATGTTCCAGTAAGTATTCAAAATTCATTAGCCTTATGAACCAGTATTAAAATATCTTGTAAATATCGTGAATTACCTTGATTTCTTCTGACTCACTGAGATATGTCTTAGAATTTCTATCTAAAAATTACATCAACACCAACGGTTTTTATTTCTTCCTTTACGTAGGCACGTTGTGGCCTAATGATAAAAATACACAAAATTTTACATAAATATTTATTTTTCAACATAATCTCCTTCCTTTTTTCTCCATTAATGATATAAACCGAACAATATATAGTGGATATTTCGGATAGAAAATGAATCAAGCTACGGATTCATTGGCTTTGCTCTATTTCATACTTTACTTTCAATAATACGAGTATATTTCTTATTCTTGTCAATAATAAGTTTTATAGAAGACCCTATCATAAAACTAGAAAATTGTCATTAAAATTTTGTTTCGTCCAGTAGAAGCCTTCATACTTTATTGATTCATTATAGTGACAATTACAAAATAATTCTCAATTATTTCTGCTGAGTTCTCTATCAAAACTTTCAAAATATCGAGATAATAATTTCCTTTAAGATAAACTTGAGACAGGATGCATATGGAAAATGCAATGGCATTCTATCCCAATCAAAAACTATCAGCAAGTTTCCATATTTTATTAAACAAGACGAAAGTATATCCTTATGTTGCCATTTATGAAGCATAGCTTAACACAACTATGGTGGAATGAATAAAGATCGAACTCACTAGTTATATTCAATCAGAATAACTCACTAACCATTGCCACATGCATATTAAGTGTCATTCATTTTCAAAATGGTAACCAATATTAATATTTTCCAGCAAACTGTTCTAATTTGATAACAAGTAAAAAGAAAAGTATCTCCAGTAAACATTATTAAGAAAATGTAACCATATATAAATTCCGTCTTTCCTCTACTTTTAATGCGTAATCTCCTATTTTCCTGATTGCCATTTGATAGCATCCGTTGCAGATGATCTCATCTGCTAGTTTTGTTCTTTATTATAGAATATCTAATTGACATTTTCATGTTTTTCGTTGCTTACTTAGATTCTAATCTAAAAGCCGACAATTCCTAATCCAAATATTTGTTAACTTTGCCATTTGATAATACAATAAATCCTTCTTTTTTTTTATTTTGCTGATGCACACCCGAGCAACCTATGTTACCCAACTTTTCCCAGTCGATCCTTCTCCCTGTCCTCATATATGAGCTTACTTTTCTGGGTACCTGAGGCTAAACCCCGGTATACTTCTGTGTGAAGAAGTTCTGTTACCTTGATTTCTGGGTTGACTTAGGGTACCATGCCTGTGTCTTCCTTCCTGTATTATTTGTCATTTCATTAAGGGTACTGAAGGCAAACGTTTTCTGGGGTTTTCTTTAGGTTTTTCTGGGGTTTTCTCCTTATCTCAAATTTCCTAAAATATCACACCCCGTCTCAAATTTCGTAATTTTTAATGAGGAACTTGCTCTGAACTGGAACAAATACAGAGCATGGAGGAAGTTCCAATAACATTCGATGCATTATCTAACATTTTGTCTTAATATTCTCTGTCGAAATTTAAGGGACATCAATAGAGTAACATATTTTAAGCTTTTCCAAAATGTGTGCAAGATTTAATTCTCTTGTGAAATTTATATTATTTGCATTAAGCCGCTCATCTGAATTATTCTAAATATTCTTGTTCTATTTGAAAATATAGTCATTAGCTTTTCTGATTTTAACATTTCAAAGTCATACAACTTTTTAAAATTAAAACAGTTGTAGGACTTTGATGATTTCGGAAAGCAATTACGTATTTCACAGTGATGAATTATGGGTCAAGCAACCAAAAGCAAGGTTGTATGTTACTAAACCGCATCTAGAATTAATTTATCATCTCTTCTATCTAACAATGTTTGGTTTATAGTGCATTTCAGAATTTAACCTCATGGATGATTATAATTTTAAAAACCAACATATTCACCATTGCATGAATTCTGCTACAGACGTATTTAAAAACATCTGCTGCACCGTCTGCAGCAATCTTTTAACCAGAAATGCCAACCTTTCCCTTTTGCATTACATTCATACAAGTGATGAATAATGTTTGTTTTTTTATGTCATCAAAAACCGTGAATTATCACAAAATGAGAAATTAATGTCAACACCAAAACCTCCGTTTTGTACTTGGTGGAATATGAAAAGTGTTGTCCATCACGAGCTACTGACGTTTATTATCGGCAATTTGATCAGGTAAACGAAGCATCGCGTTGAAAGTTTCTTGCTTTGTTAAACAGGGGGGAGGGGTGCATGGCAATGCAAAACAAACCCAAGTAAAATTATATCGTTAGTATTGGAGGTTTTTTTTTCTGCGTCCTCCATACTCAACAGATTTTCATTTGTTTCGATCCTTGGCAGAACGCTCAAAAACTAAAAAGAAGTTGTCTTTCAAACTTTTGTGGGGAACTCTAGATTTATTTAAACGTGGAATCGAAAATTGTTCCACCCATTAGGCTGCATCTGTTGACATGAAGGTGATTACATATATTTATGAATAGTATTTAAATAAAATTAACCTACATTTATATTCCTTTTTTGGTAAAACTTTGGGAATGTCCAGCAGTCAACTAAATATTGTCCTTGATAATTTAAAATTAATAACAAGGTTTTCCAAAGCACATTTCCAATCAATCATTTCTTATTTCTGAATACTAAACAACTGCAATCTTTCCCCAAAATTCTCAGCAGTTGTTCACTACAACCTTTTTAACATTCATGATACATTTACGTTACGTCTTTGTGCAACTGTATGATTCTAGATTCATTAGCCAATCAAGAAAACTTTTTCTTTTTTTAGGACGAAGAAAAAATGCAACTATTGAGATCAGCAATGAGGACACAAACAGAGATTATGACTCAGGTAAGAAAGAAAATGAAATAATTAATAAATTTCTTCCATTAGAAAATTATTTTCTTTCAAGATGATCCATGGGACTTTTTCAGGCAAAATACTTGCTATGAAGTTGGATAAACTCTTATTTCTGTTGTTCGGGCCTTTGTCTTAATACCTTGGTTGATACTTTAATGTATTGATTGCATTTACATATTTAGTCGGCTAGAAAATCATCTGTACATTATTTAACGCCTTTCTTACGAATATAATACTACGAAGTATATTTATAATTTAAACCAAGGCATCCATATGCATTCTAACGTTCAGAAACACGTTCATCTTTCAATATAATGCAGACGCCCACGCCACTGTAACTAGAGAATCTGGCATTCAGTTATATGAAGCTTCTTACACGAATGAACAGTTGAGAGGACAACAGCGACATCCAGAATTAGATTGAATATTAATGAAAAAAAGAATTAGGAGGAAACTTAGAGGTAAGATCGCAGTTTCGAGGAATAAATCCAAAATGTTTATCGGTTCAAATCTCCAATATCCTGATAATTAGTACTTTTGTGTATTTGTAAAATCTACAATAAGATGACAAAGGTAAAAGTAGCAGATGTTTCAGTGAGCAGGACCAGCAAGAAATGTTGAAATATATTAGCCATTTCCAGTAAATGTACATTGAGAAAATATAAATTCACGAAATGTCAGTTTAACAGGCGAGCTTGCATTCAACTGTTTGTAAAATCTATAACATCATCTATTTATACCTCGAAAGCAAGTCCCAAAATGGTTTTCCCAAATTTAATAAATTAGCCAAATGAGTAAATCCGTTTCACACGATTCTGTCTGTAAATGCACTGCGATCGTACGAGATATATTGCATTTGGACGTTTACTGAAAACACCTCATAGACAAAATCATTTTTCGCTTCATGTGCAAAGTTTCAGAAGCCGCTGACAAGGAGAGCGGAAAAACAATGCAGGCATGTAATGTAATAAAATTAGTGGTGATGCCCTTTGTTAATAAGTGTTATGGCCTGAGTACTGTATCGATACATGTTGGTGATTGAAAATAGGAAAAGATAGAAAAACGAATGTGAATGTGACTTGCGAATGAGAGAAAAAAGAAATCGAAAACTCACTCGTGTGTTTTCTCTTTCTCGTTCTATCTCTCTCTCTTTCTCTCTCTCTCTCTCTTCCTCGCTGTTTCCTCTTTCTCGTTCTCTTTCTCTTTCGTTGTTTCCTTTTTCTTTTTCTCTCTAGAGATAGAGATCTGACTCTTTTTTCTTGTCTTTTTTTACATCCACTAAGCACTGATAAATGTCACATTCAAGATCAAGAACAGTCTTAAAAGAATATTATATAAGGACACATATTTATGATATCATTTTTCATTGGTCCATTTTAAATAAAATTTCATTCTTTCATACAACGTCCCCAATGGACTGTCTGCAATCTACCTAGGATCAAACGGATTTTGTAAGTTAGTCTAAATTAATGATTTGACTTGTTTCTTACCTACTCCCCTAGTTCTTATCGAGCTTCGCAACACTGTCCTCTTAGCAACTCCAATCATGCTGTAGCATCTATTCCAGTCATCTATTAGACAGGAACCTCCTATTCACAAAACCTCCTTCCGTTAGCAGTATGCTGATTCGGATTCAATTCGTGTCTTTCTTCGAAACATCCATTGGACTGATATTTTTAACCTTCCTATTGAGAATTGTGTCAGTGAGGTTTCTTTTCGGTATAGATGCTTTTGTCCCTTTCCAAGTGAAACCTCAATCTTCTCCATGTTCAGCTGCTGCAGCCTACAAGAATCACTTTTTCCGGCTATACCAGCAAGACTGTTCTGACCACAGCAGACATCTATTCATGGCTGCACGTAATAAATGAAAACGTGTCCTCGATCTAAGTCTTTGTTTGCTGATAGAATGAGGCAGCGTGACTACAGGCGGCTCTTTAATAGTGTATTAAATAAGAGCAAGTTTTCTATTCCCCGTTTCTTCAATCAATTTCGGGTGATAACATATGCTCATAAAGACAATAAATTATCTTTACTTTTGATTCATCTCGAGAATCCTTGCCTGACTTTCCACTTAGAACTGAGTCTATTGAGTGATATTCATATAACCCCTCCATGGTTTCTGCTATCATCTCTAATCTGGATCCACACAAATCACGGGGACCTGATGGTATCCATGTAATAGTCTGAAGTACTAATAATGTCTCGCTGCCTCTTACTTTCCTGCTTCTTGGAAATCTTCGTCTGCTGTTCTAGTTTTTAAGAATGCAGGTAAACCGTCTGTCCCTTCCAACTATCGGCCAATTAGCCTTCTACCTCTTTTGGGGAATCTACCAGAGGAACTAGCATCGCAGGGCCCCTTTTCAGAAAGCAATATGGCTTTCGTTTCTAAAGGTCAACTGCTAATGTATTAACGATTATAGCGGAAAGAGTCTATCGATTTTTAAATAAGATTAGTGAAGCTCAGGTTGTTGCTTTCAAAAGCGTTCGACAGGATTTGACATTGCGGTCTTTTTCACAAGTTGAAAAGTTATGGTGTCCCCGGGTGAATTTTTTAACTGATTCAGTCTTTCGCAAAATGAATGTCATCTTAAACGGCCACTCTTCTAGATCATTTCGTACTAATGCAGGTGTTCCCAGGGCTCTATCCTCGGTCCTACTTCGTTCTTCTGTGATATTACTGATGGCATCAGCTCTCAACTTAGTATCTATGCTCATGGCACAACTATTTACTCTTTTCTCGATAGTAAGTCCACCAGATCGATAAGGGCAAATTGGCCGGCCTACAGTCTTAGGCAAAGGATGCCTTGTTAATTTTAAGACGTCAAAAACAAAACTACTCTCTATTAATCATCCGAGAAACCCATATCTGCTTCCTTCAGAATGGCTGATGCTAACCTCCAGGAGAGCGACTCATTGCGCCTTCTCGGGCTAACATTCACCGCTGACAAAAAGTGGACAAACTATATTGAATCCATTGTTAGGTCTGCTGCTAAAAAAATTGGTTCACTATGCCCTGCTAGACAATTTTTCTCTCCTGAATCTATCTTGCATATCTATAAGCCTTCTACTCGTCCATGCTTTGAATATTGCTACCACATGCGATCCGGTGCTCCGGTTTTATATTTAGAGACTCTTGATAAAATCCAAAGACGAATCAGCAATATTATTTTTCATGACATGGCATCTCGGCTTCAGTCACTTTCCCACCGTCGTAAAGTTGCTTCCTTGTGCTTTTTCTATAAATAATTTCCTTGTTCGGATGAGCTTTTTGCTATGGTACCTAGACTTTATGAATTTAAGCGCAGTACTAGTTCAGCAACAACATCCCATCAGTTTACAGTTGAACTGACAAGCTGTAACAGTAAGTTCTATGCTAACAGTTTCTTTTCTCGCATGTAACTCTCTTCCAGTCAAGTTTGACCTTCAAAAATTTAAATGCAATGTCAATCGTTATCTACTGTTTTCCTGATTGTTCTTCTATTGTTCTCGCTCTTCAATGATGCCCTCTCTTTTCTAATTCTCTCTTTTCTAATTCTCTCTTTTCTAATTCTCTCCCACGCAGTAATCTTTTCTTAGTGGGCTTACTGCATTACTCGGGGCAAATTCTATTAAATAAAACCAAATTTTTTAAAATTTTACTTTAATAACAATATTTTCTTTTACTGGTAAGAATTTTATTTGCATTTTATCTGATTGAATGTTGAATATTATCCTCGCTGGCGTCAACGTTGAATGATTAAAAAGTATTCTATCGAGACGTTAAATTTGCAAAGGTTTATTAAATATAGGCTAAAAATGATCTTTATCTATTTTTTTTTTCTTCAGACAATTCTAGGTCAAGGTGTCGATTGTCATTTGATGGGGCTTCGTGAATGTGCCAATGAAAATGGTTTCCCAGTTCCAGATATTTTTGCTGATGAATCCTACAAGAAAGCTAACCATTTCACACTCTCTACGAGCCAGGTAATTGTCTTTTCTTTACTCTTTACATTAGATACCAATCATCATCATCATCATCATCAGTCCTATTACCGGGTGTTATTGTAGTACCTGACCAGCTTCCTCCGTAAATCTTGGTTGCATGACCATGTCTAAGTCTTTGTGAAGGATCTTCTAAGTCCACTCGATGGGTAGTCAACCCATTTTTTTCATCAATCTGATTTTTTTCTTTTGCCTAACGTGGTACTTTTTAGGATGGTAGTGAAAAGATTATTGGCTCAATGATACATCTTGCAAATAAACAGACTATTATATACTATATATGATAATGAATGTCACAATTATTTTAGACAGACTCAACATTTTCTATCTGCCATTATGGCTATCCACAACTTCCTATCCTTCATAGGTATTAGTAATGTTTGTCTTTTTACTATCTCTCACAATTCCTGTTCCGCTATTCATCTACACAATCTCGTTAGGGAAGTTACTCACTGCTTCCCTCCCCCCCCCCCAATATGTCTTGTGAGTTTGAAATTTTTCAAACCTTCTTTCCTCATTATGTGTTTCAAAAATTTCAACTCTTTCTGATTTTATGCATAATTGTCCTTTTATCCTTTCCCGGCATCCTTCTGTAGAAGCACATCTCTATTGATTCAAGTCTTTTCTGCACCTGTCAGAAAACGGTCCAGCATCCACTGCCATATAGGAAGACTGGTATTATATAGCAGCGCGTTTTTCCTGTTTCTTAATACTTTGTCGTTAGATCCAATATAGATTGATATAAATATCCATTTCTCATTGGAGGATTCCTTCTGATGATACAAATGAAGTTGTCAGAAAATCATTTCTATTCTTCTAATCCCCATCACATCATCCAGACTAATTTCTGGTCTGACAATTTGGTTCATTCAACACTTTATTCGGTCTATCTTATTTGTTATTTATTATTCGCTATTCATTGTAGTAAGATCAGTTATTTGCTTATATATTAAAGATAAATTCCATCATGTTCTGCGTAATAAGGAAAAATGTACTTAGACATTTTGTTAATCACATCTTTTATCATAAGAAATAGCAATTTCTTACTACGAAAAAGATCGCAAAAACTTTGCTCTTGTATCTGTAGGTTTTCTCTTACTGTTTCTTAAAAGTAAAATAATAGCGAGTTTATCTATGTCTATTCATGTGTGCTTTGCACAAATTTAACGCAGTGAACAGGTCACTTTTGCGAGAGTAAAAAAAATACATCTAACCAATAAGATCTTTTTCATTGGGACTGTTATTTTTTAATTCCAAATTTATCTATCACGTTTTCTTGTAAAAAAATTTAAATAGTATTTTATTTGGAGACTTTATTCTATTAAATATTATCTATGCTTTCAGGTACCTACAACTATGGACGCCATAATGGGTTACGGTCCTGTGGTACCAGATGGTTACGGAGTATGCTACAATCCTCACTCGGACTATATTGTGGCTGTGGTGACTTCTTTCAAGAGTCATTCTGAGACTCGTTCCGACTATTTTGCTTTCACTTTAGAAAGTAGCTTCCTGCAAATGTATGAGCTTTGTTTTAAGACCAAAGATATGGATACTGGTAGTGACCGAAAAATTCCAGAAGAAAGTGAATCGAAACCGGAAGGAAGCAAAAATGTAAATACAGAAAAATCTAAAGGAACCGAAGGAAAGACGACAGAAATTCCTAAAACAGTTGACGCACCAAAGACAGCCGAAGCTCCGAAGACAGCCGAAGCTCCGAAGACAGCCGAAGCTCAGAAATCTGAAGAAGTAAAACCATTCGACCAAACGAAAACTGATGAACAAACAAAATTTGTTGGATCTCCAAAAGCCCAAAAATCCGTAGATAAAGTTCCTCCCCCTAGGCCGCAGCCCCCGAAACCTCTCTTGAAACAACAATCATCTCAGTCAGATAAAAGGGGTCCACCTAGACCCCCTCCACCTCAAATAAAAGCAAAACGTCAGGATAGCGAATCAAGTGACAAAGTACTTGCAGGTGCTGATAGAACCTCAGCAGGGTCGTTTGAAAGTGATACAACTGGAGATGGCAGTGAAAATAGTCCTCGTCGGACAAAACTTACTCGACAGGTGAAAACGCAAAACGGATCACAAGAACGTTAAATAAGTAAATCGATCAAAAACATAACAAAATGTATGACTGGTTGATGCTAATATTTGTGTTAAAACCATTGATATGGAACGAGAGAAAAACTAAAATAAGAAAATAATGAATGTTTCGTGAATTGGGTGAAAAGGAAAATGAAAAGAACTGGAAATCATCTAATAAATGGACATGGCTGTTTCAGAGAATTTTCAAATTGTTGTGCATAGAAAAAAAAACTGTAGATTTTTCGGAAAAGAGAAATGGAAAGAGAATGCAAAGATTGAAAGGAAAAGAATTGAAACTAGAAACAAACATTCATAGTTGGAAAGGAAAATATTGTAGACGGAAGTAGAACATTTTCTTTACGTAAATAGTAAAGTCGGACATAAGTTTTACAAAAATGTGTGAGGGAAAACTGTTCAAATTCCAATAGACACAAGTATCATAAGTTTCCTCCTGTCCGCACGCAAAAGTGTGTGTGTTTATATATATGTGTGCGTTTGTGTGTGTATATATGTGTGTATTTGTTTGCGTATGCGTGTTTATGCATGTGTGCACACACACATACATATATATATACTTATATATATATATACATATATATGTGTGTGTATGTATATATGTGTATGTGAGTTTATGTATCTGTGTACACAAACATACATACATATATAGATGTGTGTGTGTGTGTGTGTGTGTATCTTCTCAGTCACGAAATTTATTTATAGCCGACAAACACAAAAATCAAACGGAGATTTTGACTGATTGATGTATGCTAGAATTGTTTTGTTCGTTTTTTTGTCCGTATTACAACTGTTACCCTCATCTTGACATTTTTTCCTACTCAGGTCGTTTTCTTTGTTATAATCCCTCGCGCCTAGATGCATATGGAAAACTTACTGGTTTATCTGTAGAAAAACATATGACAAACTTATGTTGATTATGAAGTCTGGCAATCTGAGTTGACCAAAGTACATGAAAGTTTTACATTCACCCTCTATATATCTGAGTCGCAGATTCAGTCTAGGGTCTGTGAAGTATGCATAGTTTGTGTATTTGATTGTATATTCTTTGTTATTGTTGTTATTATTGGCTTGTTATTTACATCAACGATGTATTTCTGTCTAGTCCAAACTAACATTGTTAACTCGCTTTTTATCCGTTGCAAAAGCCTTTGACCAGTTGTTGTTTATCAAAGGTTTTAAAATACATAAGTAATATAAATATAATTAATTCAACAAATCAGATTTTTCCCATTATATTCTAATGTAGACTGCGTACATTAGATGTTTAGAGAAAGAAAAAGCAACTGGTGTCGTGATTCAAATTATCGGTTTGAGCAAAGCATACCTAGGTTGAATTTTGTTAAACTCTTCATAAAAAATGACTTTATAATATCTTAAACGTTTTCTCTCTCTCTCTCTTTCTCTCTCTCTCTCTCTCACACACACACACACACACAAACATAAACACACATACACAAACATAAACACACATACGCACACCATTTATAGAAATAATGTTATATAAAAAATTCTGTTTGTAATGTTTCTGAGAACTATGCTATTCGAGATTCTTATTTTACTGACAGATCAGATGATTGTAGGAATGTATAAATAAATGTGTGCTTTTAAAGTAAAAACAAAAAGAAAATTTAAAAGATTTCTATACTATTAATATATGATGAAAAATATCAATTTTCTCTTTCTCTCTCGCTCACACACGCGCTCGGACACACACACTAAAAATCATTATTAAAGCGTGAAACCTTTTGTTGCAAACTGAATTATTTTTTACTAATTCTACAATTGCTCCATCAATTTATTGATACTGAGTGTTCTTTTGGTAAAGACTGCTTATCAATAATAATTACTGAATTTAATATGTTTCACTTTACTTTGCTTCCAAAGAAACACTATAAATTCCCTGACTTTTTTGTGTCACATGAATGCAAAGATTTTAAAGACATAGATTTAATTTACTTACTAAACATTGCATGAAAATATATCACTGAGAGTTTTCCTACTGGTGACTTAGCGGTTTATTAATTAATTGTTAATTGTATTATTTTTTTTTTATTCTACTGTTTAACAAAATGTGAAGGACTTATATATATGATTTGACATATTTCACACATTACCATGGAAATATGGAAATACATACATGAATTAGCTAACACTTGATTGTGTGTGTGTATATATATATATATGAGAGAGAGAGAGAGAAAGAAAGAGAGGGGTGTAATGTAGGTATGCATATGCTTCAATATGATGTTAACAGCTGTCCACTGATCATGACGACATGCTAACACTATTTCGCTGGATGTTTTTTTATCGTGCAACACATTTGTCTCTCACCGTCAATTGGCATTTCTCACACACGTAGCAGGGCACATAAACCGCCACACACGCATATAAATATATGACAATATTATTAACCACCACCTATTTTCACAACTAGTTTTTAAAGTAGAGAATCGACATATTTAAAATATACTTTCTCTCTAGATTTAACGATTAAACATATTTAATCTCAATAAAAACTGCTTAATAATATACAAGTCGCTACATATCAATACAACTTAACATTTAATATTTATTTGAACAATTTATGTTTAATGAAGAGAGAGAGAGACGTGCATACATTGTTATAGATGGAGGTAAAATCGTATGAATATGTACATTAATTTGTATCCTTGTATTTATATTTGAAGAGAGATGGGGAAAAGAAGACCAAAGGTTTCCTTAGTTAAAACTAAAAGCAATCAGCTGTTGAATTATAGGTAATCAAATCTGGAGTTCAAGTCTGTGCAATTTATTAAACTGGGGAATTTCATCGAGTTCGGAGATTAGCCATCGAAACGACTTGATTCAGAAACACAACGAAAATAAGAGAACCATCCTAATAAATCTTTCTTCATTTTTGTAGTATAGAAAAAGGTTTATTTTGTCTCGTCTGTTAAGTTTACATCTTAAAAGTGCTTCAAATCTACATGGAACATTAAATTTAAATGTACAATAAAGATTATAAGCAATATCACATGATCACTTAGCATTGTATTTGGTATGTATGTTGAATAAGAAATGAGAGAAACCTTCAGTTGGAAGTAATCCTGAAATGTACACTGACATGTGCACAGGGTCTACATACAAAATTATCAACATTGTACATTTTGTAGTAGTAACGACTGTCTTAAAATCCACATGTATGTTATTTTTCATTTAATATAAACAAAGTCTTTTATCCTTCGTATTTTCTGAAGAAGCTGAATTAGTTTTTAAGTTATAAAAAAATTTAATTCAGTATAAACTGAATTAAATTTTTTTTAAATTTAAATTGTTTTAATGATTAATTGGGATTAATTCGCATTAAATTACAACTCTGTCAAACTTGGATATAAGAGAATTTCTGTGACTTTATAATCAGTCCTGAAAAATTAAAAGTAGAAATCAATAAAAAAGAAAATTTTCTTAGAGAAACGTTTCAGCTAGAAATGGTTTACAAACCCAATGCCGATATATTTTTTAACCAACTTAACAAACAGGGCTCAATAAAAATCTGGTTTCTCCTCCAAAAGTCCGTACGGAAAAAAAAAAATATTTGAAGCAAAGAAATTACGTTTTATTTTGTGTTAGTACAAATTAATTTTGGTCTTTGAATCAAAGCAATGTCATTCTCTTCCTTGTCTTCTTCTTCTCCTCCTTCCCCTCCTCATCCGCCTTCTGGTATTTTTACTTGAGCCATCGTCTCCAACCATTATAATTTAACAGTAACACCACGACACCAGAAGGAACAAAAGACAATTAAATCAAAACTGACATTGTTACTTTATGTAACCGCAATATGGTCACATGAAAATCATTTGCCTCTCATTCTACTTACCAACAAAATATACAAAATATCAAATTGTAAAAAAAAAAAGTTTCAACTCATTGGTATTAAGAATTTTTTTTTTTGTTTCAGAAGCAGCAAAAATTAACTTCCATTTTTTCACTGTCCATATTTTAGTAAGCAAAAAGTATAATATTGCTATCATTCCAAGATTTTTTATTGAAATGAACTTCACATGTAAATTGTCTTGAGTTTAACAATGATGAGGCAAAAATCATCATCATCTTCATTATCATCAGCATAATTATTGTTTTGTTTTTATATTTATTGTTGCTTTTAACAATATGTTGCTTTTTTTCTTTATTGTAACAAAAAGAAACAAAAACAACAAAAAAAGATGTAATTATTCTTGTTTCCCTGATTTTTTTTCAGCAAATTTTCGGCCAATTTAGCACCGAAATAACCAGTTTAAGTCTCGTGTTATAATAGAAAACCTTTCATGCCATTCTTTCAAAGACATATTTTTTGAACATTTTTTTCCAGCCAATATGAGAGGTTAAGTCAGAGATTATATCATCATAAAAGAAATTAAACTCTGAATCTACCAGCAAAATTTAGTACATGATGAATCATTGTGTTGCCTGTCATATTAGGGTGTTTAAATTTGGGAGTATACTATCGGAATTGTGGCCTCTTTGATCATCCATATAAAAAAAAATATCGCATGAAAGACTCGTAAATTTAAACGGGCTTTCATCACATATGGATTAGGAAAGTTACCAACAGAGCGTTAAATATTTTGTGAGTTACTAAGCAAGGAACTCTGGCTATATATATATATATATATATATATATATATATATATATATATATATATATATATAATCACTTGAAACGATATTTTTACGGGATAATCACATTTGAGTAGACGCCCCATTTATTTATCAAACAGTATATTTATTTATAAGAAGATGTGTGTGTGTGTGTGGACGTTAATGGTTACATGTGTTTGAGTAGACAACCCTATGTTTTCTTTACGTCGGTAATCGAAAGTCTTAAATTCTGTTTCGCTTTATTGACACTTTCAATTTTGTTAATGACTACTCAGACACATTTAG